GTGTGTGTGTGTAAAACATTGGGGAAAGTTTTTTATCCTACCTGATTTTTTATTTGAGTTAACCATTTTATAAAAAAAAAAAAATAAGTGTATAACATCCAGTCTTTAGGATTATTCATTAAAACAGACAAGTTTTATAAATATTTGTTCAATTTTATTGTTTAAAATTACAATAATTTTAAAGTTTGCACATAGAAAACAATAGGCTTATCTTTCTGAAGAAATTATCTATTTAAAAATCTCTTTGATAATTTATTGCCAAATAGTGAACCTCATTACTGACTCTTGAAGTAATTTCACCTGAAGATGTAGCTAACCTTTCAGGTTCTGAGTCAGTGTCCTTAGAATAAGATCTTGGTTTTGATTCTGAATTTTTAAGAAATGTCCAAGCTGGTGTGGTGGGGCACATCTTTAATCCCAGCACTCAGGAGGCAGAGGCAGGTGGATCTCTGAGTCCGAGGCTATCCTGGTCTACATAGTGAGTTCCAGGACATCGAGAGCTACACAGTGGAAGAAAAGGAAAAGAAAGATCCAGGTAATTCTTAGGATTGCAGCTCTACAGATCTGATTGAATAGAGAGGCTTTAGATATTTAGCATTGGTGAACTTTTTCTATAAAGAACCAAATGATAAAAGCATGTGGTTCACATGACAGTAGTCACAATTCCTCATCTGTCATTATAGCACCCAGGCTGCTGTAGACAGTTTATAAAGGATGAGTAAGACTAAAGAAAAGTTATAATAAACCTTTATTTAGAGAATAGGGTGATAGGACAGATGGGTCTTAATTTGCTTTTGAGGATTTTTCTGAAGTTAGATATTGTTTTCAAAATTTTTCTAAGTTTTAGACACCTCCCTCCCCAAAATAATTACATTAGCCAGAGGATGAATGGGGGTGCTCATTTGTTATAGTGCCATTGTGTCTGGCAAATTATATAGTCTTACGGGTAAGGCAGATTTATTTAAATTACATATTAAGAAGCAATAATTCAGGCAGAGCTCAGAGTTTGAAGCCAGCCTCGTCTACAGAGTGAGTTCAAGGAGAGTCAGGAGCTACACAGAGAAACCCTGTCTCAACCCCCCCCCCCCAAAAAAAAGAAAATAAGCAATATTTCACACCTTATTGATATAACTACTAACATTTTCTGAATATTTGTGCTTTAATGAATAATAGTAAAGTGCTAGGGGGTCAGCTAAGGACTATGGACTAAAAGAAGCAGGAAAACTTAGAGTAGGTTTACAGCTTTTACACATTTATTTTTATCCATTTTTCTCCTTTTAGATTATAATACTATAAAAATTCATTCTGTGACAATCTGGGAAGTATTTTTTTCAGGCTAGATTATAGAGTAGGGGATATAAATTAGTGGCCAGAAAAATAATTGAAATTTAAGAATCAGAAAGCCAAAGCAAATACATCAAAATTTGCCACAATTATTATGAATGCTAAGAAAAATTATCCTTTTAGCAGGTCTTTATGAACAATAAAAAAGGTATATGAAGTACCTGCCCTGTAAAATTACAGAGCTTTAGATAGGGCAAAAGGAAGGTCAAGGTGGAGCGAGTAGATCTCAAATTCTGAACATAAAGAGGGTAAATAGTTGTATTATCTGAAATAAGTTCCAAATATCCAGAATGTACAGCTGCATATTCTGAACTAAGATTTGAGTGTGATCATCCATCTATATCTGTTGCTCTTGATCACTTTTTGTGCCTGTTCAAAGTCAACCACACTGAACTCTTCAATAGGCTTCACTTCCAGTTTCACTAAAAGGTCACTTAGCATAAGGGAACTTCTGTTTCTTCTTTCTCCTTGTCATGACATATGTATCTCAGTTGGAAAAGTGCTTGCTTACTCCTCATGCAGAGGGCCTTCATTAGAGCTCCAGCTTTGGAGAGAAAATGTCTTCTTCCTGTAACCCTTAAAAATGTACCTTGTTGTATATTGTTGTTCACTTGTACTTCCAGAGATCAGGTCCTACCTATTCGTACTTCCTTTCACTTGCACTTCAGATCCTAGTACCCTCTCCTTTGTTCCCTTTTCAGTGCCTTCTTTTGCTTTTGGATCCACACTTCTTATAAGGATACTTTTAAGATAATTGTTTTTCCTGTCAAAATACATGCCCATGCCTTGCCCTCCTCTTCACATATAAATGTCTTAGAGTACTGGAGAGATTGCTCTGTCTCCAAAGGACTGTAATTGAAAGCACAGGTGTCTGCGGTCATCTCAGCACTAAATGTCTCCATCTTGAAGTCACTGCAGACTTCTTAAATATGAAAGCTAATCCTTGTTTTCTAATTTGTTGTGTGAAGCTGTTTTCCATTTCCTCTTTGAAATGCGTTTTCTTTTTAACTTCTGTGGTATCATTGCTGCCTCTTTTTCATTTTAATAGATTATTTGTTGACTCAATTCTAAGGACCCTCTTGATTCCATTGGCCTTTCCTGTTGATTGTTGAGGATTTTTATTTAATTCAGTGTCATACAGATATAGTTTAGCCTGTCTCAAATTGATTTCATTGTCTGTCTCTGCCCACCAACATGTCTCTGTTTATGGGTTCCCTAACATGGTAAATAAATAAAGGATGGTTCATTTAGCTGATAACTCATATGAGAAACTTGGCATTTTACCTTAAAATATTGCTTTTCAGCAATTCCAATCAATCAAAGGACCATTGATAATGGTTGATACTTATTTTATTCTTGAGTCTACTAATTCTAGGGGCTGCACAAAGTCAGCATGTTTTCTTAGATACTTTAAATCATCTTTAGGTTACTTAGAATACATGATAAAAATACAAATGCTGTATTGTTTAAGGAATGATGACAAGAGAAAAATGGTCTACATGTTCAATAGAGACACATTCCCTCCTCCCAGATAGTTTGGACTGAAGATGGGTAAAACATGAAAGGGTGATGTGAGAATATGAAAGACTTATTGTAGGTGAAATGTTATTCAGTGTTTTCTCTTAAACTTGAAATTTTTGGAGTAGGAATTTGTATTACCTGGTAGTTAGTTACTCCAGCCAAAATTCATATAGCTTAAATAGGGTGAGAAATAAAAGGTAGTTCAGATAGTCTGAAAAAGTACGTTAGTACTAACTAGTTCATCCTCTATCCTACTGAACCATTGAGATAGGAAATAAATTATTGATTGATTCTTAATGTGAGCCTTAACCCATTCTGACAAAATAGAGAACTATTTGCTTAAAGTCAAGTCATTTCACACTGAAGGTACCATTTTAAATTGCAAGAATTCTACCATAAAAGTTTCTCTTGATCTGTGAGAATATGTGCGAGGGAAAAGAAATACAGTAAATATAGTATAGAAATGAAGAATCTAAGAGAATTGAGTCCAGTGTTCATCTCTGTAGCATATTCAGTTCAGATGAACTAAGCCTTAATGCAAAAGCAGTAAGCAAAGAGGCCGACTTGAGACTGGTATTCTCACTCTTTAAGTATCCTCCTTCCTGTCCTCTTTTCTAATCCCTCCAGACTTAACACTAGTCCTCCTGCAGCCTACCTGCATTCTTCCCATCCCATCTCCATTCCTTTGGTACTCCATATCTTGATGAAGACCCAGGATCTCCCCAGTTCTCTCTGGCAGCCCCTTTCAGCCTCTCCTTGTAGAATAGCCCTCTACCAGGGAACCACAGCTGCCACACATAGCTGGGACTCAGTGGCCCCACAGTCAGCCACATCTTGGTCTTGCACATTTTGAGCCATTTTTTTTCTTTTTATATTTATGTGTTTATTTTTGTGTATATATGTAGTTGTGTGTTTGGAGGTAGAGGACAAGTTGGGTACTGTGATCAAACTTGGTGGCAAGCACTCTTACCCATCTAGCCAACTTGTGGACTCTTTTTTATTACGTATGTGTGCATGCATGTATGTACAGATGACACAGCATGTGTGTGGAAGTCAGAATACAACTTTCTGAGTCTTCTGCCAGCCATAGGTTCCAAGTATTAAACTCAGGTATTAGGCTTATGTAGCAAGTGCTTTTACTTGCTGAGCTATCCTGCCAGCCCCACTTTTTCGAATATGTCATCCTACTAGAATAAGCAAAAAATTTATCATTGCAATATAGTTAATGGAATAATTAGAAAAATATAAGCAAAACTCTTAAAGAAGCATCAAGAAAAATTACAGGCACATAAATTTTGTGAAGTAGTTGAAATTCACAGTAATCATAAATAAGAGATATTTCTTTGCTGTTATTTAGAAACTTGTTGGAAACCACTGCAGTTAAATAAAAAATCCTATTAGGTTGAAAGCTGAAATTTGTGTTAAAGTCTAGCCCACTCACATAGGCTCAAAGGAATAGCTTCTTTCTATAACTGAAAAAGAATTACATGTGCAGGATAAATACTTGGAAAAACATGTCCTTTTAAATTAGATCTAAGAAAGAACAAGAGCAGGGAGACAGAGTGCTATTTAATGCAAAACTTGTTTGTAATATAACAGATTATATTATTGCTACACAGAATGGAAAGCCATTAAAAAAAAACGGGGGTTCACGTTCAGTACTTTGTACTAATGAAATTATATATATTTGTTAACCAGGACAAATATATTTGCTTGTTGGTTTGTTTTTAAATTTTGTTTATATTGTGTGTGTGTGTGTGTGTGTGTGTGTGTGTGTGTGTGTGTGTGTGTGTGTGACATTTGTGCCTTTTGTTCAGGTGCCCAAGGATGCTAGGGTATAGGATTCGCTGGAGCTGGTGTTACAGGCAACCTAATGTGGGTGCTGGGCAATTCATTGGAAGAGCAGAAAGTGCTCTTAACCACTTTAGTCTCCAAGAGGACTTTTGAAAAAGAATTTAAAATGTATGATGCCGTTTTAATCTTGCAAGTGTCTAGTATTTTTTAACTTATACATTAATGTGTAAAAACTTAGGAAAACTCATTGTGATGTCTTAAGCATTTTTAGTAAGATCTTACTAGTTTTCTCATACCAAATTACATGTTCTCTTTTTTCTTTGTTTCTCCTTTTTCTCTAGGAAACTGACTGGACATTCTTTCCACATGGGCTATAGTATGGCGATTTTGAATGGCGTTGTAGCTGCTCTTACTGTGGCATGGTGCCTCATGTAAACCCACAGTGGGGCAATATTGTTGGTGAAAGTCCTGATTGTTTTATCAGAAATGAACATTGCCTACTCAGAAGACTATGAAATGTGATTCAGATACATACGTCATCATCATCATCATCATTATGGAAGACCTTATAGAGCATCATTTCAGATACTAGGCAATGGGAATATTTGAGTACTTTCAAATACTTTCTTAAAAGTATAAGATGTTTACCTCATCTTTTTACTTTTGTTTATGTAGTTTTACAAGTTACAGAAAATATTTTAATGGAAATCAAACTTGGAAACTTGAATACAGTATAATGCCTCCATTTCTATGTATACTCCTTTTTCTTTTCTAACAAATGTTGATGTTATTGGTTGAGATAGAAGTATTTCTTATTTATATATTACATTAAAAAAAACACTGCTAACCTGCTAAACCAGGTTCCCTGGGTTGGAAGCCAGCCTGTAGCTGCACAGTGAGACCGTTGCAAGAAAAAGAAGAAAGAAAACAATGCCTTTGCTTTTAACATTTTATAGAGACTACATCAGTGTCTTTGATAATCAATAGAATGCAAATGTACATTTATATTTTTTATGGAGTATACCTAGGGGTTTTATATATTTTCATAATATTGAATTTATGTTTTTAAAATTTTACATTTATAACTATATGACTGTAAACTTCATTTCTTAGCTGGTATAACCTGTCCTTTACTAAGTATTTTTTTTAAGCATTAAAGCACATTGATTTAAGATTAAGTAAATTTATTTTTTAACAAAAAGATACTGAAAATTCAGGGTAAACTATTTGTCATTATAATGTTAAGAAATTTGAAACTGTTAACCATTTCTATTTTACGCAATTGAAAGTATTTATTTTGATGTATATATTTGGGTAGCAAAACTTGTACTATTTTGTTTCTAGTAAATGAAAACCTGAATGTTTTTTAAGTAGAAAAGGTATTTTGATATTCTGTATATGTATATGTAATTAAACTTCAATGTGTATGTTGTAATATAGATATATATATAGTTTTATACTTTTTCTGCTTAAATATTTTGTCATGTTAAGATTTTTTGTTGTTTTCATAGTAATTAAGCCTTAACTGTTTCTGTCTTGCTCAATATTCTAAGTGTTTAGAAAGTCAACTCAATTTTAGAAAGTTGAATGATTTACACAGCTCTTTTTTCCTGGCTGTAGAAAAACTTAGATAAGGAAAACATTGTGTATTCTAGTTAAGTGGGAAATGAGTTTATGTAGTGCATTTGCAGCCCCTGATGAATGCTGGGTTCTAAAAGTCTGATGTTTCCTCTATATTCTCAAAAATAAGAAAAAAAAGTCATTTCCATTTAATTGGAAATGGCTCATAATTCTCTAAAATGAGAGATGAAGAGGGACATAGGTAGGGTCTTACTAAATATCAATCGTATGGCTTAAGTATTCCATCAGTTATGATTGTTAGAATGATTCTACTGTTGTTTTTTTATTGGCTCTTTCTCATACAATATATTTGACATTATTCTTTTCATTGCAGCCCTGTCTAGATTTTCCCCACCTCCCTACCCATCCAACTTCATGTTCTCTCCATCTCAGGGAAAAAAAGAATCTTTTTGTTTGTTTGTTTGTTTGACTGATTCCATTTTTTTACTCTCAGCCTTCTTACCTCCTTTTTTTCTACCCTTTTATCTCTAAAGGACTCTTATTACAAAAATATGTTCAAATTGTAAAATTACTTTATCTCCTCTCCATCTGTGTATAACTCATCCCTATTATCATCCCAGTTAGAATGTCTCTTTCTGAATTCTTTGTGTGTAATGACTAAGATTAAAGTTATTATAATCTATTATTCATACACAAGGTAGCCTCGTTTATAATGTAGATTAAACAGGACATATAATATACTATTTTGTAAGAACACTATGTCTTATGGACTAGCAGTCTATGGAAAATGTCTGTCCATTCTCTGTACCTAAGGTTGGGTTTCAGTATATGAGGAAAGTGATTGACTGAGGTTATTTATCTTAGACCAAGCTCTCTCCTGGCCACAGTGATTGCGATAAGAGTAGAGGGATCTGATTCAAATCAGCAAATTTCTAGGATTTTTCAGTTTGAAACAAAGATAAGAAACTGAGAGACAGGAACCTGGGAAATGCTGGCAGTCATGTGAACCAAGCTTAGTAGAAAAAGATGAGGTGAAATGAATACTGCTAATGATATTCTCCTGGTTCTAGAAAGCTAGTGACAACCTGCCATTCTTGAATCTTGGTTACAATGTTTTGGTACGTTTGTTTCTGCTGTTTACATAGGCTTTTGTCATTTGCACCACAAAGTCAAGATGAAGTCACCTAGCAGTTGGAATCATCCATCTCTATTAGTAATGTCAGACCATCATGTAATATCATTTATTTGTGAAGTATACATAGGGTATGAGTGTGCTTATGTCTGATGATTAGTCTCAGTAACTTCAAAGGAACTTTAGAGTAAAGCTAGATACTCATTTTAGTGTTTCATCAGGAATTTTGTTCCCAAATTGAGCTAGACATCCTTTAAATGCTATCACAATTTTGCACTATCAAAACATTAGTCTAGTTTTAGTTTTAAGTTTAATATTTAATCTTAGTTTCCCAGTTTCTTTACCTGCTAAATGGAAAAATTAATATTTCAAATTGAAAACAAAAACTGAAAACTGAGTACAATAATGTTTGTAGGACCTTGATAAGACAATATAATTTATAGTTTCAAATATTTATCAAGATGTGGGCTGAAAACTAATGAACTAAGAATGAAAATCAAGCCAGGCAGTGGTGGCACACGCCTTTAATCCCAGCACTTGGGAGGCAGAGGTAGATGGATCTCTGAGTTCGAGGCCAACCTAGGCTACAGAGTGAGTTCCAGGAAAGGCGCAAAGCTACACAGAGAAACCCTGTCTCAAAAAACAAAACAAAACAAACAAAAAAGAATGATAATCAAAAGTTAAAATTTCAGAGTAACCAGAAATATTGGAAATGAAAGGATGTTATTAATCAGTAGAGAGTGGAATATATATCACTATCAAATACTAACAATGGGTTCTTTGAAAAATAAGAGTCTAGTTAATCATATATAAAAGGTTTTCTCAGTCAGTTTTTACGTTTCTATTAACTTTCTTGACATGTTAATTAGGATCCTATATCTCAAATAACAAAGGAAAAAGCACACAAGTAGCTAAACACAATGTGTTCACTAACCCATGGATGCAAACCTAATAACCTCAAGCAGTAGATAACATGAACCAAGTTTATCTTCCTGCAAAAAAAAAAAACTAAGGCTTTTAAAAAGTTTTGGAGTTTTTTTTATTCTTTTTTTTTATTTTTTGGTCTCAGCTTCCTCAGTCAGTTTATGCTGTATGTTTGGAAGTCCTCAGTTTGATGCTGTTACTCTTACTTGGAAGTATTAATGGAGGAAACACAGTGGTCTATCTAGAACTCTCAGATGACTTCCACAACAGACTTCTCTAGTCAATTTCTTCTGGATGTTTTGAGTACTTGATTTGGTATTTCTATCACATTTTATACTTTTACTTTGGCTTGCCAGTATACTTAAACTTAATTCAAAACTAACAGTGTGGCTATCACAGATCGTCTCCTTACTGTACAAAGCTCTCTTGAGCTTCCTGATCTTTGTGTTCTCTGCTGAGTAAATTCAGATGAGATACATAAGTGCAGAGTTTATTACAGAGTACTAAGAGATGAGAGCAGACAATGGACAAAGGGAACATTGCAGAGGAAAAACTCAAGTCTGGAGTGCCGTTTTTCTTAGGGGTGTTAACTAGTCCATGTTTCAGTCATATTTAGGTTACCTTATAAATATATAAATGTATATAAAGTATACATCTATAAATATATAAAACATAAGGAATATAAGAATATATTCCTAGATATAACCTGCTTAATCTGATAAACAGACTTGTATGTATGATTTCAGAGTTGACCATTTGGTATTGAATAAACAATTGGTGTGTTCTCCCTGCACAGGAGACTATTTTTCCTGCTCTCAGCATTCCTTAGTTTCCTGTAGTTATTTCTGTAGGGTTGAAGCCTACATTCACTTTTGCATGCTTATTTTTGTCCTTGTTCATCTCATGTTTAAGTTGTCATGTTGGTAAGACTATGGGTGTAAGTTTTGACATTGCTAGGAGACACAGCATCACAGTAAACTACCCTGTCTTCTGGCTTTTACTTCTTCCCTCTTCCACAAAGTTCCATGAGCCTTAGATCTGGGAGTTATTTTGTGGATATATCCATTGTAACTGGGATGAACAGCTTTGCACTTTGATTGCTTGTAGTTTTCTGTAGTGATCTCTATCTGTTAAAAAAGAAGTTTCCTTTACTGGGGACGAGTACTACACTTAGAAGGACAAGTACTTAGAATGTTGTTAGGGAGTATGCTGGTTTAGTAAGTGGTTATAGTTCTCCAAGATCTATGACTTCATTATCTCTGGCTAGGTTTCCAGTACCAGGCATGATTTCCTCTTGTTGAGTGGTTCTGAAGTCCAATTAGTTGCTGTCTATTGTGTGCCACTACAGCCTGAGGGTTATTATGTAATGCTGTTCTTTACGGTTGATAGATGTCTTATCTGGGTTGTACTGTTGGTTACTTCCTTCCTTTGGATGGTACCATGAAAGTCTGCAGAAAGGAGTCATACATATAGATCATCAGTTCCAACTCTGGGGCCTCTGGGCCCTGTGTCTGAAGTATGTGGTGTCTTCAGTAATAGAGATTTCCTTTCCATCTCTAGGGGGCAACCAAGGTAAATAGCAATAATCTTTAATGTTTGGGAGGATTCTCATGTCTGGTATTAGGGTATTTGTTAGATGATCTTTGGTTTTTAGAGGGAGCATTGTCAGCCCAGATAAGAAATTTTTATATAAATATATTTATACACATATATATTACAAGGTTTGGGGGGTAGTAGATAATAAAATGATTTCTTATGGCATTTTCAGATGTCAACTTTGATTTTACCCTCATGTAAAATCTTCCTCTCCCCTCCATCTAGAGCCTACCCCCTTTTCCCATTTCCCTGCTCAGATCACTTGTATTTTAAATCTTCAGGAAAAGGATTTGTGATGCTTTCTCCTTTTTACATAGTATTTCAAATTCTGAGAAGATGGGACATTTTCTCTTTTCTTTATCCATCACTGTTTTCCAGTTACAAAATTGTATTATTAGTGACAAAGGTACTGGGGCCCAGAACTGAGTATGAGGGAGAGAATCAGCCTTTGTTGTCTTTCTAGCCTAAATAATTGCTAGCTACCTACAAGCATTTTAGAATGGAGTGAAAATGAACACACCCAAACCTATGGCACAATGAAGGCAGTTCTAAGAGCCAAGTTCATAGCATCAAAAGTCAAGAGAGGTCTCAGTTACTTGACAGCACAACTGAAGGTTCCAGTATAGTAATACCTCCAAAGAGTAGATGGCAAGAAATAAATCTAAGGCTTAAATCTATGAAATAGAAGCAAAACAACAAAAACAATACAAAATACCAATGAGGGGAAGAATTGTTTCTTTGAGAAAACAAGCTTGACAAGCCCTAGGCCAGATTAGCCAAAAGTCAAAGAGAGAAAATCCAAATTAGAATAAAGTTAGAGAAAAGGGAAACATTACAACAGACACAAATTCAGAGGATAACAAAGATATACTTTAAAAATCTGTAATTGTGGCTGGAAGATGTCTAGGCTGTTAAGAGAACTTGTTCTTGCAGAAGACCTAGGTTTGATTCCTAGCACCGTTGGCTGTTCATAACATTCATAACTCCTGTTTCAAGATGAATAAGATATAGACATTTATAGCAAAGCATCCATATGGAATATAAAATAAAAATTTAAAAATTTTTTCTTAAAAATCTACACTTCCAAGCTGGGTGGTGGTGACATACACCTTTAATTTCAGCATTCAGTGGTAGGCAGATCTCTGAGTTCAAGACCAGCCTGATCTACAGAATGAGGTCCAGGACAGCCAGGGCTACACAGAGAAACCCTGTTTTGAAAAAAAAAAAAAATTTTTTTTTCCTATACTCCAATACTGCACACCCTCCCCTGGGTTCCACACTAGGGCCCACAGCCCCTGCAGCCTTATGGGAGGCCAGGCTGGTACTAAGGACCCCAGGAAACACACCACCCACTGCCAGCTAAACCCCTTTGAGCCTGCCCAGCAATTCCAGACTGCAATCCCTCTGCAGGGCTCCATATCCTGGTCTAAAACTTGAGAAAAAGACAGGCTTTACCAGAGGCCAGGCTGGTTCTACAGACCCTAGTCCCCCAAATCCCCAGAGAGGACACTGTACTGAACCTAAATGAAGACTCACTAGTCACCAGAACCCTTGGCCATTTAGCCCAGAACACCAGAGAGGAAAAAGAAACCAAAGAACAGAACACCCATCCAACAAAAACAAACACAGGAATCAACACATAGACCTATAGTCATCCCAAATCCGGATGTCAAACACCAGTGTAAGAACATAACAGAAAAGTCATAAGGCACCACAAGAGCCCAGCTATCCTACAACAAACCCAAACAAAACACAGCTGAAGCACAATAAAACAAATAAAAATGACTGAAGATTATGGAGGTTCTTAAAGAGGAAAATTTCCCTTAAAGAAATAGAGGGAAAAACAAGCCTGGCAGTGGTGGTGCACACCTTTGATCCTAGCCCTCAGGAGACAGAGGCAGACTGATCTCTGTGAGTTCAAGGTCAGCCTGGTCTACAGAGTGAGTTCCAGGACAGCCAGGACTGTATCACAGAGAAACCCTTTCTCAAAAAACCAAAAGAAAAGGAAAAAACAAACAAACAAAAAAGTGGGATGAAACCAATCAATCTCTAAAAGAATGCCATGAAAGCCAAGAAAAAGAACAGGTGTACAAGACCTGAAAATGGAAATAGAAGCAACAAAGAAAACACAAGTGAAAGGAATCCTGGAAATGGAAAATATGGGTAAGCAAGCAGGAATTACATGCAAACATTAACAGACTACAAGAGATGGAGGAGGGAATCTCAGATGTTGAAGACACGCTAGAGGAAATAGATTGATCAGTCAAAAAAGTGTTAAATAGACTGGATCAGAAAAAAATCCTCTTGCCACGTAATAAAACTAAATATACAGGACAAAGAATATTAAAAGAGGTAAAGGAGAAAGGTCAAGTAACATATAAAGGAAGACCTATTAGAATCACATGACTTCTCAGTGGAGACCCTAAAATCTATAGAAGGGCCTGGACTGATGTCTTGCAGACTCTATGAGACCACAGATGCCAGGCCAGACTACTATACCCAGCAAAGCTGTCAATCATCATAGATGGAGAAAACATGTTTCATGACAAAGTCAAATTTAAACAATATCCACAACCCCAGCCCTACAGAAGGTACTAGAAGGAAACCCAATACCAGGAATTTAACTATACCCACAAAATCATAGGCAATAGATAATCTCACACCAGCAAAACCCAAAAAAGGGAAACACACACACTAACACCACCACCAACAACAACAACAAAATAATAGGAATTAAAAATCATTGGTCAGTAATATCGCTCAATATCAATGGGTTCAATTAGCCAATAAAAAGACACAGGCTAACAGAATGGATTAAAAAACAGGGTCCATCATTCTGCATAAAAGAAACACACCTCAACATCAAACAGATATTTCAGAGTAAAAGGCTGGAAAAAGATTTTTCCAATAAAATGGACCTAAGAAGCAAGCTATCCTATTACCTACCAAAATAGACTTCCAACCAAAATTAATCAAAAAAGATAGAGACGGGCATTTCATACTCATTAAAGGAAAACTCCACTACCAAACTCTTTTTATGAAACTACAGTTACCCTGATACCCAAACCACACAAAAATGCATCAAAGAAAGAATTACAGACCAATCTCCCTCATGAACATTGATGCAAAAATACTCAAAAAAAATACTAGCAAACTGAATCCAAGAACATATCAAAAAAATCATCTACCATGATCAAGTTGGCTTCATCCCAAAGATTCAGGGATGGTTGATCCCAAAAGTTCAACTTAAGAAAAATCTGTCAATGTAATTGTGGGAGCCCATTTTCGGATTCCTTGTGGCTTTACCCAGCAGGTCCGCATAGAGGATGATTAGGACCACGGGCCTGAGTACAGGTGTCTGAGATGGTCTGCACTTGGCTGTGCTGGGGGAGGAGGTTATTTGCTCCACCCCTTGGCATCTTTATAAAAACCCTGGGGCAGAGACAGTCGGGGCCCATTGGAAAAGGTTCCAGGCCCTCTCGAGACTATCCTTTATTTTCTATCTGTTTATCTCCGCAATATTCTCCGCAATATAAATCTATCTAATAATTCCTGCTGCTCACACTCAAGAAAACTCTGGGGAACTGTGGGGTTGGTGGGTAAACGCCCCACATGTAATCCACCATATAAATAAGCTGAAAGAAAAAAACCACAATCATCTCATTAGATGTTAAAAAAGCCTTTGACAAAGTCCAACACCTCTTCATGATAAAGGTCTTGGAGAGATCAGGGATACAAGGAACATACCTAAACATAATATAGGCAATATGCACAAAGCCAACAGCCAACATCAAATTAAATGGAGAGAAATTCAAAATTATTCCACTAAAATCAGGAACAAGACAAGGCTGTCCACTCTCTCCATATCTATTCAAAATAATACTCGAAGTTCTAGCTCAAGCAATAAGACAACATAAGGAGATCAAGGGGATATAAATTGGAAAGGAAGAAGTCAAACTTTCTCTATTTGCACATGATATGATAATATACATAAGTGACCTCAAAAATTCTACCAGGGAACAAAAATTCTACCAGGGACTGACCTAGGCACTCTGCACATATGTTACATTTGTGTGGCTTGGTCCTCTTGTAGGACTCCTAACAGCAGGAACAGGAGCTGTCTCTCACTCTTTTACAGGCTTTTGGGAACCCACTCTTCATACTGGGTTGCCTAGCCTAGCTTTAATATATCAGGAGGTGCA